AAGCCATTTTGTAATTTCATATTGCTAAAAAATATTTTTACATTTCAGTCTACATCCATTTCTGTATCTAAAACTAAAAAAAAAATATTTTCTCTTTCTTGAAGCTATGGAAGTACTGCATTCTTAATGTTGTCAATGGAGTGTGGCCAGAAATGTTTTCTGCTCGTGTGATTGGCTCGCTAATTTTACAGGGCCCCATGAGATGCCCCTGGTACCTTTTCATAGGCTTTTTTGAGTTTGGGCAAGGACACAGGGGCCCCATGATCCTCAATTGCCCGGGGGCCCCATGAGTTGTCAGTCTGCCCCTGGCTGCCACCCACACACTGCTGCACATCCTGCTTGGAGATCACTGTGTTCTTACTATGCTATGCCTACCAATCTGCCTTAGCTTCTGCATGCTGTCAATCAAGTTCTTCACATATAAGTGGGCTATGTAACAATAACTTGATACTATTGCGGTTTTACTAACTCTAGCAACCAGTGTTTGCTCTCTCCCCTTCTTTGGTATATGGAGATGATCCATCCCAGAACTGGTGAAGGACTGCAGGAATTTAGTAGACCCCACATTCTCTTTACAAACCTCCAATTTTCTATTGGGACACCATACATCATTTATGGACATTTGTTTTTGAGAATCACCGAGTAAGCAGTACATACTTTCAGTGTGCATAATTGTTGACTTTGTATCCCAAAAATTATATCTGGAATTACACTTTAAAATATTTACCTTCACTGGTTGCTTTGGGCAACAGCTGAACAATTGCTCCTTGACATTCCAGTTTTTATAAATCGAGTACAACAAAATCTTCAAAAATACGATTTGTAAGTCACTAATATGTAGTATATTATTTACTGATATTTTATTGTTCACAGAATATATATATATTTTTTAGTACTTTCACTAGATTCTCATTGTCAGCATATTTACTGTTGGCTTGCTCCATGGGTGCATGAATACACCTTCCAGCTATTTGCTTGCTGGTAGCTATAAAAGACAAAAGGATTTATTGATTATATGTAGAACAGAATGCACAAACACTGGGTGTATGAGAAGCTTTAATACAAAGCAGTATATAGTTAGTTACTAATAAAAGGATAAAGGATTACGGATTTATTGTACTGGATGGATACCAGGAAAGTTACACTGGGCAAGTTCACCTTTATAACATTGTCTCTTTATAACATATTTTGTTACTAATGATCAAAGCATTAGTATTTAAGATCACCCCAATAATTTCATGTAGATTTGTCTAATTATTCAGCTTAAGAATCTTTCCAAAAGCTTAAATTATACCAATTTGTATGCATATATTTAGGAAAATTTAAAAAAATCACAAAGCTCAAATTTACATGGTTATTAAATTGATTGGCTTATTTATTTTTATATGTATTCCTTATTTTTTTTAAATATATTTTAATGTAAATCTAAGTCCTAACTGACATTTAATTTGCTAAATCCTTGTGTAACATAAACATTGTACATGCTTTTTCCATACATTAATGTTTTCACCTCATTTTCATATATATATTTTATATATTTTTAATATCAATGCCCCATCATTGGTGTCATTGTCATAATTGGTGTCAGTTATAGCAACAGTGCCCCATCGTTTGTTTCAGGAGGAGGAATAGTGCTTCATTGTTGGTGTCAGTGGAAAGAACAGTTCGCTATCCTTAGTGTGAGTGAAAGGAATAGTGCCCCATTGTTACTGTCAGTGGGAGGAATGGTGGTGCATTATTGGTGTCAGTGGGATGCATGGTTCCCCACTGTTGGTGTGTCAATGGCAAGAATTGTGCCCCATCACTGTTGTCAGTGGATGGAACAATACCTTATCATTGCTGTTAGTGTTATATTTTATATGGAATATTTACACTATGTACCTTACCATGTTACAGTACTATATTTTGGGGTGCTACATGGCCATGGTGGCTAGCGTTAAAGAGGGGGGGGGGTGTAAGCAGGCTGAAATGCTGATTAGTGAGACAGCTGCTGCTCTAGCCAGGAGGGAAAGAGTTAACCTAGTTTCCCTGACTTTCCTGGGCTCTGCCTCTCTCCCTGTACTGTAATTAAAAGGAGGAGGTGGCTCTGACCAGACACACAGTCTTCTGCACGGGTAAACTGAGCCAGCCAACAAGATGTAGTCCATTTAGTCAGCAACCACCCACCCAGGGAGAGAGTGCACAAAAAGTTCCTACAGTCTAATACCTGCTTTGGCTTGCCCGTCTTATCAGTGATCCTCATTTGAAGTCTTTTACATGTAGGCGGACCTGAAGTCCTCTCTGAAGACACCAGCATACTGGACACTGCCATAATAAATTCTGCCATTAATGGACTCTCACCTGTACGGGTATTCTGCAGCAGTCAAAAGCCTGAATTAGGGATTAGGGTAAATAGGAAAAAGACTGTGCTTGATAATCTGCTTTACTGAAGATTCTGTAGTAAAGCTTCAAAACATTATTCTGCCTGGTCTGAAGTTTTTCAAAGAGGTGCATGCAAGTAACTAGGCACATGTGTGATTTCCAGTCTGGGTCAGTAAGCACATTGGGGTATGAAGAATGCAAGTGGTCATCAAGAGCAGGGGCGGACTGACAATTCATGGGGCCCCCCGGGCAATAAGGGATCATGGGGCCTCTGTGTCCTTGCCCAAACTCAAAAAAGCCTATGAAAAAGGTACCCGGGGCATCTCATGGGCCCCCTACTGACCCCGGGCCCTCGGGCAGTGCCTGAGTTTCCAAATGGTCAGTCTTCCCCTGATCAAGAGTACAACAAGCAGCCTGTCATGAGGCGTGTACTTGTGGAAGGTTGGAGTTCCTCTTGCAATGAGGGAGTTATTGTCGGTATTATCTCTCCTGGTGGTCAGTGGAAGGAGTTGTGCCCCATTTTTCTTGTTAGCAGGAGGAATATTGCCACAAAGGACCATTAAAGGCAAGCAAAGGACTGCATCTGGCCAATGGGCCACACTTTGGGGATGATACCCATCTTCAATGTAGAACAGCCTGATTTTTGAAATTCATGAAATTATGAGAGGCTAACAGCTTGTCTATGAGTAGTAACTGCTGTTAGTCACCCCACCCCCATGTTGGCACCTTGGTACGTAATCCTTGTGGGCACATCCAAAAATGTCCATATTTGAGAAGGGTTGTCCCTTCACCAAAGTAAATGGAGTAATAAACACTGGCCTAGCAGGACAAAAAAAGGTCATTTTTGAGGTTTGCAGAGCAGGGGATGAGGGTCACAAAGAGAACATTTATAAGAATGCACAACATATTAATTTTTTTAATATTTGATTATAGTTTTACTTTGATGCCTCTTTATTCCCTTTTATCGATTCCTAGCCTGCAGTCTGAGTGTCTATACAGAGAGCTGTGCTGAACTGCACATTGTGTGGGGGTGTCAATGTGATAGGACAGGGAACAGGAACTAGAAGGGTTTAGACAGGTTCATAAAAGTAGTAGAATTCCAAGATGACATCGCTACTTCAATACATGTTCTGGTAACAAGGATGTGACACAGAAAGCTGCCACCAAATTGCGGTGTCACTTACCTCTGGCTTCATGACTACAAATTCTAATAGAAAAGGATGAATCACAAGAGCAGCTGAATAAAAATCAAAATTACCGGTATGTTGGCAGGTAAACCTGAGTCTCATCTGTGTGCATTTAGCTGTTTGGCTGTTGCTTTAATCTCCAATAATCCAGCAAACTACTGCTACTTGTAACATTGCGGGAGATGCGCTTTAATCCCTTGTCACATTACCCTTTAACTATTTCCTGGCCATTTTTCTTTTCCGCAAAGGCACAGCAGAGGAGTCAATTGCTTATGAACCACGCTGATGACGGCCTAGAGCATTTCAGCAGGAAATCGCTGCAAGATTCCTGGTCGCCTGCTTTGATGTTTTAAACTGATACAAGACATGATTAAGGAAGGTCTAATCTCAAAGTTCTCTCTCTCTTTTTTTTGCCTGCTGGAGGCATACTATGGAAATGAGTCATTACTAAATAATATCTGTGGAAAATCAAAATAAATTAAACAATTACTGCATAACATATTTCTTTCAGCATTCATTTGAAGCTAATTAAGCACAGGAAGAACATTACAGGGGAAGAGAAGGGAGAGTGTCAAAGTTTCTCTTCCAGTTCAGAACTTAGTTCTGCTTGGTTTCCGAGCTTCATTGAAGTTTCTGGGACAGAACAGAATCATTTTGCCTAAATAATACTCAGTTGCATTGTGTTGTGCAAGCTTTCCAAAAAACTGCTTTCCTGTAAAGAGGCTGAGTACATTTCACACTTGAAATGCTGGTATTAATTAGGATAAAAAAGACTCATGAGACTGGCAAGGAAAAACAAATAATCAGGGGATCCCCTGCAGAGTCCTAATTTGATTTTCTAAAAATATGACTAATTGTACCGGTGTCTTGATATTTTAATTGAAGCACAATCCCGTGCTAAAGTTAATCTAAATTGCTTGAAGTTTACATATTCCCCCCTAGTGGAGAAAACTCACAAAATGAAAGCATTAATTTCACACTCTGTTTCTTAGTTTAGAAGAGGCACGGAAGAGTTAAAAATTGTGGGCTGGAGGCCCGTGTTGTCTTATATCACACATGGATGACAAGTGTATTTATAAATGTATTTTCCCGCAGCAACAAGTCCAACAGTTCTTTACCAGAGAGAGATTTATACGGCTCAGAAACAATCTATAAAACAGATTTACAGACAAGGCAGATGACAGGGTAATTAGAATATTCCTGCAACTATCAGACACCTTCAGAGGACCCACTTTCTCCTGCTACAACTCAACCAAAAAACCTTCCCTAATTTACACCTTTTCCCCATTGACCAAAGTGTTGAGCAATCTGGTTGGTTAGTTTTTTGAGCATGTTTGATCGTATGTGTTACAAACAATGTGTCTAGGTCTAGAACAGCTGTATGCATATATTTTAATTAAAAGTTAAATAGATAAACCCAGGGGCGGACTGACCATTTGGAAACTCGGGCACTGCCCGAGGGCCCGGGGTCAGTAAAGGGCCCCATGAAATGCCCCTGGTACCTTTTTCATAGGCTTTTTTTGAGTTTGGGCAAGGACACAGGGGCCCCATGATCCCTATTGCCCGGGGGCCCCATGAGTTGTTAGTCCGCCCTTGGATACACCTTGTCTTGTTTATGGCAAAACTGCAATCTTTAACCTCCTTGTACAAAGGTGGACATGATACCCACCTTGAAATTCTCTTCACCATGAAGTACACTATGAATACTTAAAGTGTTACTAAACCCACAACAGTAAAATCAGTCTGTATATGCAGTAAAGCATGTTTTGTTATACTCACTGTGGAACATAAGGGGTTAATCCTCTGCTTTGTGTAAAAAGGCTGTTTGATCCTGTTTTCTCTGCCCCTCCTCTTGTTCAAATGTCAAGACAGACTGAACCCGTAGCCATTCTGCACATGCTCAGTTTAGTGTGTATTGCTACAAAGGTTTTTTTTTCTTGGAAGAGTGCCTGTGATCAGCACAGGGCCAATCAGCACTGTCCAGACAGAGGTTAGGGGTTCTGCATCCTCCCAGAGCAGAAAGAAAACTCCATGTACTAGATTGTAAGCTCGAAAGAGCAGGGCCCTCAATCCCCTCATGTTTTGCATTGTATTGGTATTGTTCTGTCACATGTTCTGTCCCCCTTTGTAATGTACAGCGCTGAGCGAACTATTGGCGCTTTATAAATACTGTATAATAATAATAATAATGTACAAGCTTTAACCAGTGCTCTGCTGAAGTCACAAGAGTGCTATATATTGCTGATGAGAAACTGTATTTAGCAGTTAATATTTACAAAAATAATTGCACGTATATGTTCTGTGTACTGTGGGAGACCAGATATAGTGAATGTAGGGTCCTGGGTTTAGTAACACTTTAAGATGCCTTAAACCCATTTACCATATACGTCTCATACTGTTTAAGGAAAAATTGTATTTTCTTGCATAGGTAAAGATTCCACCTCTTTATAAAGGCTATTTCTCATAAACAAGGGCCTCATGAATATTTAAGACCTTTCCTAATATAATCAGACAAACCTGCATTTTACAATGCTGGTAGATTTGCAAATAACCTGCTCTGAAACTCCCCCTGACTTTCCACATATTTATCCAAAAACAGGTTAGCTGAACATAACAAAGGTAAGGTAATTACCTCGTGCATACATTAACATAGTAAGGAGTCCTTATTCTATCCTTTTAATATGAAAAAATGCAGTTTGTCTGGTCCGCAATGAGTCCCAACTTCATATACTGTACATGAATGTATATACAGTGCATTTACTCATATTTTATATATATATATTTATATCTATGATACACTCATATTTTATGCCTACAGTCTGTGGCCAAGGCTAGAGTATGTTTGAAGAAAACAGCATGCTATAGACCCCCAGAGATTCTTTGAGCTAAACCAGGAAGGTTGGGTGGGGTCACTCACCCTGCACATGGAGTATCTTTCCATGTGTGAATGCAGTCACCAATGCCCTGGACTGGGCAGAGGCTATGTTCAGGTGAAATCAACCTTAAGGTGGCCCCTGACTTACAGATGAGCTGTGCACTGTGTGTAGTAATTACCTGTACAGAGTTGTGAAGTGCTGTGTCCCATGTCCCTACACATCATCCTGTGATTGTTGCATTTAGGATGGACATTGCTGTGCCCATGTCCTCTCCACCTGTCCAGCGTACCTCTGTCACCTCACTCCTACTAACAGACTGGAGTTCCCACCAAGCACCTAGCATGAACTTCATGGTTGGGCTTCATTTAACTCCTTGCTCTTCCTCTCCCACGTACCTTGTGACTAGGTTGCGGGATTCCATAACGCAGGTTTGGTCCCGGTTGCTATGGGAAACCAGCCTATGGGGAGGGAGCCAGAACACTGAACCCCCTCTCTACCAGAGGACACCTCACCTTACCCAGGTGCCATACTTCTTGAAAGGCTAAAGAAACACTTTACACCAGTCCTTGATTACCCTGGGGAACTACTCTCTCTTCTTCACTCTATAACAGACTTGCTGCATACCCCGTATGTGCTTTAACTGTTCCAAGTTCCTTTATGTGCCAATAACCTTCATGCACCCCTTTGAGTAACTTCAGACTCAGGAAATAATTTAACAACTTTACTGAATGTTAAAAGTGTGATAACCAGACATCTTTGACTAACTATCTGATCTGTGGCTGCCCAGGCATACCTTGCAAAGGTGAGAATCCATAAACTGGTGAAGTCCATAGCTTGGTAGTCTCCAATAAGCTGATGTCTTCGGGTCAATTGTGAGTCCCAACAGCCCCCCTCTGCTGTACTGTGTCACAGCATTTCTGATGGCAGGTCCAAAAAAAAGGCCCCTGAAGACAGCCTTTTGGAAGCACCCTCCCCTTTTTTTATGTGAGCAAAGGGAGGGGGCAGAGCCCAACAAAAAAACCCAGGAAACAACAGAACTAGCATTAACCTTTTCCTAACATGGGCACATTAATATTATTATTATACAGTATTTATAAAGAGCCAACAGTTCGCTCAGCGCTGTACATTACAAAGGGAGACAGAACATGCAACAGTATAAAAACAATACAATGTGATACACGAGGGGTTCGAGGGCTAGCTAGCTCTGCTAACACAGAAACCACACCTGTAGGGGGCCTGCATACACATGCCCCCTTTTGTCATAAGCCTGGCTATGACTAAACCACACCAAAATGCAGTAACAAGTGACACAACAGTAATGTATAAATGTAACATAAATAACTTTGTAAAAATGTAGGGAAGCATAAAAGCTTGAAAACAGTAACAATATAAGTGCAAAACAGTGTAACACACATTAAAGGTTCCATAAGTTCTTCTTTAATGGGCGCCGAGTTGTGTGTGGTGATACTCAGTTGCGAGCTCCTGAGGTAGGTGGCATGTTCATCAGCTCAACCTTGAGTCCTTTTGATGAGGCTCACCTTTGCAGAAAGCCACAGATCCATGTGAAGGAGACTGGGATGAGTGCGATCCCAGAGCAAGCAATTGTGCATTCCTCACAGACATCAGCAGATGCTGCCTTTGCAAGTGTTTTTCCCACGGTGGGTTCTCTTGGCAAAGACTTGACCCTGAATGCAGAAGGGGAGTACCAGCATGGTTCTTCAAGCCTCAACAGCAAAGTACCTGAAGAACCATAATGGTGCACAGTCCTGACACAAGCACGATCACTCTTGGTGAGGCAGTGGCTCTGGCAACAAAGATGGTGGGGGCAGATGGCAAGGCAGACTGTCCCCCGAAGTCTGTCACGGTAGTCACATGCAATGCTGCTGGGCAAGCTTGGACAAGTTCTAATTAAGTAGCTACAGCCATGGTCTCTTTAGGGGTGTTCTTCAGATGTCTCATAATGTATAATTAAGAAACCTCTTTGTTTGTGTGTGCGCTTGTGTACATGCACCTTGTGTGTATTTTACTCTGCAGCTTAGATGAAGCACTAGTAATAAATTACATTTTGTGAATGATCTTTGCTCTTCATTTGTATTCTGGGTTCCAGAGTCAGCACTGACATTCCGTTCACAGAAAAACCATAAGGTTAAAAAAATGCATTCATGCAGATGTATTCTATACACTACATCTGGGCCCTGCGAAGGTCAAGCGTTTGACGAACGCTAATTACATATGCTCAAATCAGGTCGAATTATTATTTGCTTATTCCTTGCACCTCATTGACATGATCCTCTCTCCTCTTTGAGTGACAGGTCTGGAGAGCTCAGGGGCAAGCAATTGCCGGATTATGTTTCATTCTGAAGTACTCCGGAGAATCACCTCTAAAATGCTAACAAACAAGGTCACCATTTTAGAAGCGCTGCAGTCATGGGACTTTCAACTGTTTCTTTCAAAGGCTAATGTATATTTCTGGAATTTATGACTTTCTCAGTAGATTAGATGAGGAAACAGTGACAATGAAATGACATTCTGAAGAGTTGTATAGAAAGTAGAAACATTTAGAGCATATAACAGCCTCAGGGTTAAAGGAAAAATATGTTGTATTTTTATATATAAGTAGCATTTTTCCCTTTGTTTGTTCTTAATGATATTTGCCACCTTCAAGTGATAGTGCTCATGTATGATATAGCACAGTTGTTTCCAAGCAATGTTGTCAGTATTGGGAAAAAATGCACTAACCTTTCCAGGCCCTACTGGACATTGACGTGTGCCAATCTTTGTATTTAATTTTACAAAACTTTTCTGCGGTATGAGACTTGTATTTTTTTTTTACAAATCACAGTGGTTAAAGAATGTGCCTACTGCATTCCCATAATGCAGGAGTCCCCAAACTTTCTAAACAAAGGGCCAGTTTACTGTTCTTCAGTTTTTTTTTTGGGGGGGGGGGGGGGCTATGGTTGGTAGGAGTAGAAACTTGCCCTGCCATAAATAGGAGAAAGCAATACACCATCATTGGTTTTAGTGGGAGGAATAGTGCCCTATTGTTGGTATCAGTTGGAGGAATAGTGCCCTATTGTTGGTATCAATTGGAAGAATAGTGCTCCATTGTTGGTATCAGTTGGAGGAATAGTGCCCTATTGTTGGTATCAGTTGGAGGAATAGTGCCCTATTGTTGGTATCAGTTGGAGGAATAGCGCCCCATTGTTAGTATCAGTTGGAGGCATAGTGCCCCATTGTTGGTGTCATTGGCAGAACTCGTGCCCCATCATTAATGTCAGTAGGAGGAATAGTGCCCCAAGGGCTGGATAAAGGCAAGCAAAGTGCCACATCCAAGCCACAGTTTGGATAAGTTGCAATTTTTTTTATTATTCCTAATTTGCATACTGCAGGCACCCTAGTTTTTTGGAGGGGGAAGGGTTAGGCAGTGTTTAGGAAAATTAAATGCATGGGTACCTCTTCTTATCTAGAACAGCTATACCATATTGCCAAAAATATGTGAACATTACATATTATTTAGTTCCGTAAATATTTTTTGACAAGTGGCCTGCACAGGGCAAAGTGAACTTTAAAGGAAAGACACAGAGAAAATACATAGGCTGAGCTATACTTTTGACATACTTGTTATAAGTTTCAATGTTTCAAAGGTTTCAATGTTTTGAATCAATGACCTAAAATGTTCAAATAATAAATTATTTCCTTT